CACGTTGAGCTTGGTCCTTCTTTTTCAAGTCTTCAACATCTGTTGTTAAGTCAGAAAGTCTGCTGTCTAAACCTTTAACTTTGTCCAAGATGTCTTTTAGAGACATATTTGCACTTGCTTCTGTAAGAGAGCTAAGAAAAAGGCCAAGGAAGATGGCTGAAGCAGGGGCTTATTATAGTGAGGCAAGTGGGTGGACCAAAAGTTATTAAAATTAGTTATTTAACTACAAATTAGCTGTAAGTTAGTTAAGAAAACTGGCCAAACACAGTTGATAACTTGATATGTGAGACTGAGCCTTCTGAAATAATAATAATTATTATATAGGTGGTGGCCTATATGTAAAATTGAGGTTGGTTTTTCAAGATGGCGTCCGTTTTTCAAACACTTATAACTCTTTTATCTTACCTGAGCCTTATAAATGGCTTAAATGAGCTCTCCTTCACTGAGCGATTTTCCTGGTACCTTTAAAGTGGACTGTAATATAGCGGGAGCATTTCTGGAGAATAGGCCCAAATTCAAATTTCTGCAAAATTCTTCAGACTTTTTCTTCTTCTTGCATCTTCTTCTATCAACACAGAAATCTTTGAAGCCAGAGAACTGCTCAAGTTGGCTTTTACATCATTCCTTTGTGCTTGGGTCAAGGACTGGACATGTGGCTTCAAAAAGAAGCAAGGACAGAGCTAGAGAACAATGGAAGACAAATTCCAGCTGCAGCACCGCTGTGGGTTTGTGGTTTGACGCCATTTTAATTTATGCGAACGTGATTAGCATGAAATGATTAACCTAACCACATAACAGAAAGTAATTTATTAATTTAAGAAAAAAGAATGGAAACAAGTAAATAAAAAACATTAAGTATAGGTTATACAACGAGGTGAGGTACCTATGGCATTTATCATACCGAGGGCCGTAGGCCCGAGGTATGATAAGGCCATAGATACTGACACAGAGTTGTATAACCAACTTCTACCATGTAAAATAAACAACTAGTTTACTTAGCAACATTTAGCAACAGCATGCCTATTTTAAGGAGGTTAATAAGTAATTTCCCGGTCAAACTTATTAACTTCCCGGGCCACTTATTAACTTCCGACTGTCCGGGGAAATTACTTATCAACCTCCTATTGCCCGGGAAATTACTTATTATACCTCCCAGTGGTAAATAAGTTATTTATGAACCTAAAATCAAGCAATCTGATTGGTCAATTGCAACTAGGCATGGTAGAAAAATGGAAATGTAGTAGCATTAAATTGGAAAAAAGTAAGGGGTACTTGCAAAGTGGTGTGATAACAAATCCTACACCACTGCATGGAAGACATGGCTTCATAGTTATTATGTAGTAGTCTGTATGGATAATTACAATGCTTTTGGGTAATATCCTTTATGCAGTGATGTAGGATTTGTTATCACACCACTTTGCAAGTACCCTCACTTGTTTCCTAGGCTTTTTTCCAATTTAATCCTACTACTTTTCTATTTTTAATGTTTTCTATTTATATACTTGTTGATAATCATATGTAGAGTGTAACAGTGCTTGTAATTCTGGACTGATGAGGTGTACTGGATCAAATTCTACTGATTGTTGTTTATCATTTGCTGCTAATGGTCAGTGTGTTTCAACTACTAACTGTACATCATCATCAGGTCCTAACTATGTTGCTACTGAGATTAATAACTTCACTTGCAGTAAGTACTAAAACTGCATTACTATTATTATATTTTATTATTATTATTTTATTATTAGCTTGTAATCTAACCTGTTCTGCTGGTTATACTGTTAATTCTAATTGTCTCGGCTGTGATTTCACTAGTATCTGTGATGCATACAGTCCATGTATGAATGGAGGACAGTGTATACAGTATTCACCTCCTGATAATTATACTTGTAATTGTACTGGTACTGGATACCAGGGAGTCAACTGTCATACTGGTGAGTGCTTTGAATGGATTAGACAATTGAACATGCTTTAAAATTAATGTAGCTGATCTATTTGTTATAGCATGTTGGACTCTTGTGTGGGCTGTAGCTATAGTTTGTTTACCTTGCATTGTCAGTGCAAGTGCATGTGCATGCCTTTATGTACATGTACATGCATTTATGCTTCATTATATCCAAGTAAGAAGGAAATCATAACTCATTCACTATAGATAAACATGGGGAGTTAATTAGCTACATATTTTGACTATATTTTAGTGGTATTTTTTGTTCAATATTAATTTTAGATCTCCGTATCTGTGAAGGAGCAAACAGTCCATGTATGAATGGAGGACAGTGTATACAGTATTCACCTCATAATAATTATACTTGTGATTGTACTGGTACTAGATACCAGGGAGTCAACTGCACTGGTGAGTGCTTTGAGTGGATTGGACAATTAGGCATGCATTAAAATTGATGTAGCTGATCTATTTGTTACAGTACGTTGGACTTTTGTGTTGGCTGCAGTTTGTTTACTTTGCACTGTCAGTGCAACTGACTGGTGCATGTGCATGCCTACACATACATGTTTGCTTCATTATGTCCAAGTATGAAGTCATAACTAATTTACTAGATAAACACGGAGAGCTATTGGCTATGTGTATAATAACAGTATTTTAGTGGTGTCATTTGTTCGATATTTAGATGTCAATATCTGTGAAGGAGCAAACGGTCCATGTATGAATGGAGGACAGTGTATACAGTATTCACCTCATGATAATTATACTTGTAGTTGTACTGGTACTGGATACCAGGGAGTCAACTGCACTGGTGAGTGCTTTGAGTGGATTGGACAATTAGGCATGCATTAAAATTGATGTAGCTGATCTATTTGTTACAGTACGTTGGACTTTTGTGTCGGCTGCAGTTTGTTTACTTTGCACTGTCAGTGCAACTGACTGGTGCATGTGCATGCCTAAACATACATGTTTGCTTCATTATGTTTAAGTATAAAGTCATAACTAATTTACTAGATAAACATGGAGAGCTATTGGCTATGTGTATAATGACAGTACTTTAGTGGTATCATTTGTTCAATATTTAGATCTCAATATCTGTGAAAGAGCAAACGGTCCATGTATGAATGGAGGACAGTGTATACAGTATTCACCTGCTATCAACTACACTTGCGACTGTACTGGTACTGGGTA